CTCCCCACCCGAGGCTCCTCGTGTGCTGGGGGCCCTCCCTCCGGGAGCCTACAAGGCAGGAAGCTAGCCAGCCAGAAGACGGGTGCTCCCCGCCTGTGGCTCCCTGTGCGCTGGAAGCCCTCCTTCCAGGGGCCTACAAGGCCGGGAGTGAGCCGCCGGTCCAAAGACGGGCGCTCCCCGCCCGAGGCTCTGGGGGCTACAAGTGTAATTTTAAGAGGAAGTGTATCAAAGTATTCAAGGCCAGATGCAATAAGAACAAAAGCAAAAATATGTTTTCCCTTTTAAAAAAATCCCATCTATACTTGGTTGAAGCAGGAGGATCACAAGTGTGAGGCCAGCCTCAGCAAGTTATCAAAACCCTGTCTCACAATAAAAAAATGAAGAGCTGGGGCCAGGCATGGTGGCGCACACCTGTAATCCCAGCACTTGGGGGGCTGAGGCAGGAGGATGGTCATGAGTTCGAGGCCACCCTGCGCCACATAGTGGGTTCAAGGCCAACCTAAAATATGAAGTAAGACCTTGTCTCAAAAAAGGGGGGGGGCTGTAACTCAGTGGTAGAGCATTTGCCCAGCATGCTTGATGCCCAGTATCACATCGAAAACACTCCTTCCCTATCTCGTTTGTTTCAAATCTATTCAGTGCCTCGCTCCCAAATCTTTTTCTTCCTAGTTTTTTTGTGACAAGGTCTCACAATGTAGTTCAGGTAGGCCTTGATCTCACCATGTAGTCCAGGTTGGCCTCATATGTGCAGCTATCCTCCTGCCTCAGCCTCCAGAGTGGTGGAATTACAGGTGTGCACCACCATGCCCAGCTGTCTCCTAAAGTTTCTGCCATGAAGTTTGTCTTTCTGAATTACACTAAACCATTTACTTTCTTGCGGGGAGAACACCGAGCCCTAGCAAGGTTCACATGGTCCCTTTGGAGTCAGTCCGAGAATCACCCCCACAGTACAGACAGAATCTGAGGCAGAATGGTGCTCTTCATGATGCACACTGCAGATCCCGGTGCAAAGCCCGATCGCTGAGGATTATTTCACAGAAGTAGTCTTTAGTCCTCGTCATTGAGAACAGACTGGTCTGAATCATGGCCTTGGTGCAACGCAGGTAGCAAAGGCATCCACTGTACGTAATTCTAAGACTCAGGTTAAAGTGATTTCTATTCATTCTCCTAAAACGATTCAAATTTATCCTTCTTTAAAGCCATGGTTCCGTTTGGCTTGGTTTGGTTTTTTGAGACAGGGTCTTGCTGCGTAGCTCAGGCTGGCCTCAAACTCACAGTGATCCTCCTGGCTCAGTCTCCCGAGTCCTGGGCCTGCAGGTGTGCGCCATTATGCCCAGCCTAAAGCCCTTTTATTATTAACTTGGTGAATTGCTACGGTACTGCTAAAACTTGGAAGGGAGAAGTGGCACGCGTGCTGTTGGTTGGACACAGTCGGAAGCCCTCCATCACCGAGAGCTTTTTTCAGAAAGTCATTGTGACGTGCAGTAATAACAACGTCAGTGTGCCTGGAAGTAACCTGTCTCCTTGGTTGTTCAAGGGCTTACTCTCCATTTTGCGCAAACTGAAAAGTGCGCCGGACCAGGAGGTGCGGATCCTTCTCCTCGGTTTGGATAATGCTGGCAAGACCACTCTGCTGAAGCAGCTCGCCTCTGAAGACATCAGCCACATCACGCCTACACAGGTGAACGCCGCTGCTCCAGGCTCCGCGTCCCGTGGGGGTGGTCACCGCAGCCAGAGAGACGGCATCCACCTCGCAGTAGTGTTTCTGAGAAAAGACTACAGTGTACAAGTAGCGGCACCCATAGATAGGACATTTTTCGAGCAGCCAAATTCATGGAGACAGAAGCGGTGGGTGTAGGAGGGTGTGGGCATGGGGAGCTTTGCGTGCACCCGGTCAGTGTTCCAAGACGAGAGCTGTTCTGTGGTGGAGGCACAGTGTGAGTGTACTCAGTGCACTAACGCCAGTAAACGCACTTTCTCGTAGTTAAAATGGTACGTTTTATGTCCTGTATCATCTGCCATAGATACAAATGGGGGCTAGCCGGGCATGGTGGCACATGCCTGTAATCGCAGCACTTGGGAGGCTGAAGCAGAGGATTGCTGCAAGTTGGAGGGCTACGCAGTGAGCTCAAGACCAGACTTAACTACATGGCAAGACCCTGTCTCAAAAATTAAAAAAAATATATAATAAATAGATGGGTGGTGTCATGGCCTTAAATCAGTTACAGATCAGCTTTTTTATTTTTTTTTTGTTTCATTTTAAGACAAGGTCTTGCTATATAGTGCAAGCTGCCCTTGAACTCACTTATGTAGCCCAGGCTGGCCTTGAATGCGGCAGTCCTCCTGCCCCAGCCTCCCAAGTACTGGGATTATAGGCATATGCCACCACGCCTGGCTTAGATTAGCATTTTTTTCTTTTTTTTTCCCCCCCCCAGTGCTGGGGATTGAACTGAGAGCCTCACGTTAGCAAGCATCCTACCACCGAGCTACAGGCAGCCCCAGACTTGATATTTGTTTTAAAAATAGCCTTTTCAGGGCTGGGGGTATAGCTCAGTGGTCGAGGGCTTGACCCATCACGCTCAAGCCCCTGAGTTTCATCCCTAGCATCATCACCAAAAAAAGTCCTTTATCCCCTTGGATTATGAAGTTACAGACAATATGTAAAACACTAAAACACTTCCCGGAGAAAACAACTGTTCATATTTTAGTGTGTGTTTTTCAGACTTAATATAAACAAATCATTCTAAAATAAAAAAGTTACATAACTTTTAAAGTCCAGTCTCATCTACCTTTCCTAAGGCCAGCCAAGCAGAATGCAAAAGACAAGGCAGTGGGGTGCCACAGAATGGGGGTGCTGATTGGAAGGCCTTTAGCAGGCTTCATTTTTTTTAGCAGTACTAGGGACTGAAGTCAGGAACTTAAACGTGCTAGGGAAGTGCTCTACCCGAGCTACATCTCCAGTCCTTTCTAAATTTTATGGTGAGGACCAGGCATATAGCTTAGTGGCATAAGCACCTGCCTGGCAAGTGCAAGGTCCTGAGTTTGATTCCCAGTACCAAAAAAAAAAAAAAGAGCCAGGCGTGGTAGCATACACCTGTAATCCCAGCACTCAGGAGGCTGAGGCAGGAGGATCTTTGCAAGTTTAAGGCCAGTCTAGGCTACAAAGTGAGCTCAAGGCCAGCCTGAACTGCATAACGAGACCCTGTCTCAAAAAGACAAAAAAAAATTTTTTATTGTGAAGCTTAGCATGATGGTACATTCCTATAATCCCAGCATTCTGGGTGGCTGATGCAGGAAGATCAGAAGTTTGAGCCTAACCTATGCAACTTAACAATTTAGTGAGACCCTGTCTCAAAATGTAAAAGCAAAATAGGGCTAGGGATATAGCTCAGTGCAAAGATTCTGGGTTCAGTCCCCAGTAGTGAAAAATAAATAAATAAAATTTTTAAAATTGGAGTCAGGGTTTTACTAACCTGTCCAAGCTGACCTCAAACTTGTAGTCTTTTGTTTCTGCCTCCTGAGCAGGTAGGATTGTAGGCTTTGTTTCTGGAGGTTTTCTCCCTGGTTTTTGAGACAGGGTCTCACTATGTAGACAGGCTGCCCTAGAATTTACTATGTAGTCCAGGTTAATCTTGAACTTCTGCAGTCCTCCTGTCTCAGCCTCCTAAGTGCTGGGAGTACAGGCATGCATCACCACACCTGGCATTTTTTTTTTAACAGTGTCTTTCTGTGTAGTCCAGGCTGGCCTCAAACTCAGAGATTCTTGTGCTTCGGCTTCCAGGATTATAAGGGTGCACTACCACACCTGGCTCTCATAGGCTTTTTCAGGCTTCATTCCCTATAGAAACCTGAGAAAGCTTGATTTATGGTAAAGCCAACAGGCACAGCCTGCTGGACTTCCTCCCTTTTTTTTTTTGGTACTGGGAATCGAACTCACAACCTTGCGCTTGCCAGGCAGGCGCTGTGCCACTGAGCTAAATCCCCAGCCCCTGGACTTCGTCCCTTTAAAGTGCTTGACCATTAGAGGATTTATCAAAAGCAGTGCTGTTTAGCATGTGCTGTCATGGTACAGTGGTAAGAGCGTGGCGTCCGGGTGGCTGTGCTGATCTGCGTACCTCTCGGCCTGTGAGTCTTAGTGATTGCAGCTCTTTGGGAGAGCTCATCTCACTGCTACCAAATGAGCAGCTTGCCCGTTTCTGAACCAAGGTAAGGTGCAGCCGAAGGGAAGCAGCAGTCGCCCCTAGGAGAGCTGAGGGCACAGGAAGGTGCCAGGGTCGCTGGCGGGAAGGAAGAACGGGCCTTTTGGATTTTTCATCTTTCTTTTTAATATCAGCAATGGACTAATTCTCAGTATCACTAAGGTGAGGATTTCCACACTGCAGACAAACTCAAAGTTAGTCACGTAGAGTTCCAGTTGTAACCTCAGGCTCTGTTAGATGTGTTATAGTGACTTGTAGCTTGTCAGAGTTCCTTCTTTCCTTCTTTCCTTCATTTATTTATTTTTTTGAGACAAGGCATCACTATGTAGTCCAGGCTGACCTTGAACTCACAGCAATCCTGCCTCAGCTTCCCTAGTGCTGGGATTACAGGTGTGCGCTGCTATGCCAGGTTTTCATTTTATTTACTAAGAACAAATTGTTGTACTATATTTCTTAATAGAAAAAGTAATAGGTGCTCATTATAGTAAACTTAGAAAGTGTAAATAAAATAAAATTGAGAAACTAGAAACCACTAATAATGTCCAGACAGAACCACTGTTAACATTTGGAAATGTGGCCATTCAGGATGTTTTTTATTATTATTATTATTGTTTTTTGGTACTGAGGATTGAACCAGGGAGTTCACAATGAGCTTCATCCCCAGCTTTTTTTTTTTTTGAGTTAGTGTCTAAATAGCTGAGTTGCCCAGACTGGGATCAAGCTTAACTTCCTCCTCCCTCAGCTTCGCAGAATGCTGAGATCACAGGCTTGCACCGCTGCACATAGCTTCAGTGTTTTTGGTTTTTCTTATGCTTGCATGTATGTGTGTAATGGTTAATTTCAATTTTTTTTCTACAAACAACCTCGTACAGAATGTACGTCATCTTTTCACTTAATGAGTCATGAACACCTTTGTGTGTTGTTCTGTCCATGTAACACGTCTGTAAATGTTTGTACCCCCTCTTTAGTCTTTCCTCACAGGAACTTGCCACCCTTGCTCGATCTGATGACATAGAAATTTAAGGCAGTTGATATATACGGCCAAGGTCCAGGATACTGGTGTGTGTTCCCTACATCATTCCAGAAAAAGATTTGCTATTGCTGAGTTTAGTAATATTGTTGAATATAGAATTTAAACCCACAGAAGTCACCCTCTCAGCAAGTCCCAAAGAAGGTACTTTTCATGATGAGCTTAAGCCATTTCCCTGTAGCGTTCTTGAGCTCATTTGTTGGGTCGTTGGCGCCTTAGAGGAGTGGTAGCATCAGCCCAGCTCCGCTGCCCCCGCAGCTGTCCCCAGGGGGAAGTGGGTGGTGTGCGTCTGTGGCACTGCCTCGTTCCTGCCCCCATAGCGGTGCGGCGCGGGGCCAGAAGCACGCGTTTGTGCATTGAGGAGCCTCTGCAGGCCCCTGCCCTCCACTGTCTCTTGGGGGTGTATAACTGCGGATTGAACCCAGGGCCTCCGCAGTAAGCTACGTTCCCAGCTGTATTTTTCTTTTTCTTAGACAGGGTCTCCTTGAGTTGCCCAGCTGGGCTCGAACTTGTGATCCTCCTGCCTCTTCCTCCCAGAGAAAATGTCTCTTCTCTGGTAGCAGACTATTAATTGGACTTTTAAATCCTGGTCTCCCTTTGTCTTTCTTGCAGTAAGGTTTGGGTTTTGTTGTTTTCCTTGAAACTCCTGTTCAGAACCTCCTCTCCGAGCCCCAAAGGTCTTGTTAGTTTGTTTCTCTCCAGGCTAACTCCCAGCTGGCCGCCCTGATTTGCTCACCTTCCTCAGGGCTCTGCCTGGAGGTGCTGTCCTAAAGCAGTTTGTCAGAGATGCGACTGAGACTCAGTCTCAGAGGCCGCTGTTTGCTTTCTGTCTCCCAGGCTGCTCTGCAGGCCCCACCCCTACCTGCCAAGGCCCAGCCCAGCCTCCCTGCCAGGTTCTATGTTCAGCTCCCTCCTGCTCTGATTAACCCATAGGAGGAAATGGATTTTGAGGGGGCTGGGGATTTAGCTCAGTGTCACAGTGCCTGCCTGGCAAGCGTGAGGTCATGAGTTCGATTCCCAGTACCAGAGGAGGAAAAAAAAAAAAGAAATTGATTTTTGAGCTAGCTTGTGAAGAGTCTAGTCCTCCAAATTCGTAGCTCTTGCCTCTATTTTTATTATTATTTTCATTTCTTTTATTTTTGGGGAAATGTTTTCAGACAGGGTCTCACTATGTAGTTTAGGCTGGCCTTGAACTCACCATGAAGCTCAGGCTGACCTTGAAGGGGGGGCGGGCAGTCCTGCCTCAGCCTTCTGGGTGCTGGGATTATAGGTGTGCACCACCCCACCCGGCTCTTATCTCTCTTCAAATTTAGCATTTGAAACCAGCAGTAGTGGCTCACTCCTGTTATCCCAGCACTCAGAAGGCTGAGGCAGGAGGATCCTTGCTGCAAGTTTGAGGCCAGCCTGGGCTACAAAGTGAGCTCAAGGCCAGCCTGAACTACATAGCAAGTCCATGTCTCCCCCCGCCCCCTACAAAAAATAGCACTTGAAAATATATACTAAAGCTATAAAACAACCATTAAATAACAAAAAGTAAAAGTTACAAGCAGCACTTGGCATTTGTTCTTTTTTGTTGTTTTCAGATTTAGATTTATTTTTTGTTAGTTTCATGTAATGTCCTGTTAAATTTACCACTCTGTGGGTTTTTCAGGGGATGTGATCTATGTTGATCATAGGTATTCTCACATACCTACCATAGTTGTCCTCAGCCATCCCATGTATGGTACACATACGTTTTATATATATAGTTTTCTTTCTTGCCGCGCCAGGGATCAGGGCCTCACACATGCTAGGCAAATACTCTACCCCTGAGCTACATCTCCAACCCTTGTATATTTTTCCATTATAGAAAAACATCAGGTTAGCCCTGACATTACAAAAGCTGACTGCAGCCTGAATGAAATACATGCTATAAACGTATGTTTCTCTCTCGCAGTAAGCCGTTCTCAGTATTGGCAGCATCACGTCTGGGGCTGGGGGTATGGCTGAGTGGCAGAGGGCTGGCCTAGTGTGCACAAGGCCCTGGGTTCCATCGCCAACACCACAAAAAACTACTATATCTGGCAAACTTCAGAGTTAATTTTAAACATAGCTAGTAGAGGCTGGGATGTAGCTCAATGGTAGAATGTGTACTCAGCGCGCGCACAAGACCTTGGTTTTAATCCCCAACACACACAAACCTAACTTTATCAGAGTTAATAAAACTTGGTATTTTTGCCTTTGTCTGTTTCAGGGCTTTAACATCAAAAGTGTACAGTCACAGGGTTTTAAACTGAATGTATGGGACATTGGTGGACAGAGGAAAATCAGACCATACTGGAGGAATTATTTTGAAAATACTGATATTCTTGTAAGTATGCTTTTTGATGTGCTAATTCATGCTCCCTTTTTTTGCCATGTGTTAGGAACATCGACACCATGATCCTTTGTATCAGTAATTCTATTCCTACAACATTAACTGCCGTGATTAGAGGCTAGCAGAAGGCTGCGCGTTATGGAAGAGAGAAAGCTCTCCATAAAGTGTTTTCCTGTTGCTCGTTTACACTGTCACACCCACATCCACTCTGGCAAAATAAAGTGCTTCTGGGCCTGGGGATTTAGCTCAGCGGCACAGTGCCTGCCTGGCAAGTGCAAGGTCATGAGTTCAATTCCTGGTACTGGGAAAAAAAAAAAATAAAGTGCTTCTTACCGTGGTGCTCTGAACAGCACTGTGGAAGTTGCAAGGTCATATGATGACACTGTCACCCCAAGTGAGACGACGTGTCAGGGTGTCCCTGAGAGAGCCAGGACACAGCGGGAGTCCTGGGTGGATAACAGAATGGCCAGGGCCTGACAGTGTCCTCCCTAGAAAAGCAAACACTTGCCGTTGTCTTCCTCTGCTTCTGGAACTACATTAAAGCTGAGAGGCCAGCCATCCTGAATAGCTCTGGAAGCCTGAGCGGGGGCAGAGTGAGGCGTGTTAGAGTGGAGAACTTAATGCAGAGTGCGGAAGGGGTTTCCTAAGACTCTAACTTTCCGGACATAGGGCGAGCTGCCTTGTGCACTGGGGATCCCCTGGCTCGGGTGGCATTCATTCAGCAAAACCGAGGGGTCTCCCCAACTCGGGTGGTAAGGAAGAAAAGCGCATGTTGTTTTCACTAACCTCTGACTGAAAGGTTGTTTTTACCTCAGTTACTGCCATGGGTGGTAAACTGCAGGCAGAGCCACATCGCTGCCGATAGCAGCCGGCATGTGCCACTGGAGGCGTCTCTCTCGACTGCCTGCTGTGTGCCTCTCGTGGTCCTTCCAGTCTTCAATCTCAGGTTCTCTCATCCAAAAGGCAAAAATCAGCTGGGCATGGTGGCCCAGGCCTTTGAAAAGAAAAGCAGTAAAATCAAAGACAACTCTTCTCTTGACCGAACAGCCCCTCTGGATGCTGTCCCATTCCTCAGGCTCCCTGCACGATAAACATGAGTTTTCTGCACCCTCTGTCTCCTCCCAGTCACTCCAGAGCTTCCTTCCAGGCCAGCCAGTGGCTGCCTCCAAGGCCCGGGGCTTGCTGTTCGGCGCTCGTCCCCTTGACCTGCCGGCTCCACACAGTCAGCACAGCAGTCTCTGCAGTGTGTCCTTGAAACGGTGTCTCTCTTTGCCTTCCAGGGCACCATCTATCTTTCTTTTCCTCCTCCATCTCCATTGCTTTTGCTTTTGCTTTTTTAAACCTCCAGCTGTGGTTCAGCTCAGGAACATCCTGTGTTAAGGGCTTGGTCTTCGGCTTAATGCTGCTGGGAGATTGTGAGTCTGTAAGATCTGATAGGAGATTCAAAATGATTGTGCCATGCCCTCAGAGGGGATCTCTCTCTCCCCCTCCCCTCCCCCCTCTCTGTCTCTCTGTCTCTCTGTCTTTGTCTCTCTGTGCCTGGGCCATGAGTTGCACGACTTTCCCAGTCACATAACAGCCTCCCCTGACAGAATGCCTTGCTTATGGCAAGAAATAACGCCAACAGACCATGGCCTGGAACCACCGAACCCTGAGCCAAGCTTTTCTCTCTGTAAGCTGTTTATCTCTGTAATTACTTAGAGGGATGGAAAGCTGAGTAATGCATCTCCCAACCTCCAAGTTGCAGAGCTCAGCCCTCGTGTTCTTCTCTAAATCATTACTTGGGGGCCAGGAATACAGCTCAGCGGCATAAGCGCCTGCCTGGTAAGCGTGAGGTCATGAGTTCAATTCCCGGTACCAAAAAAAAAAAACAAATAAATCACTACTTGGGTGACCTCATGCAGCTCAAGGCTTTGGTCGCCACCAACGCACTGGTCAGTGCCATGCTTGGCTCCAGCCTGAACGGCTCTCCTGAGCTCCGGTCATCTACAGCCAGCTGCCTGTGACACCCCTTCCATGCTACAAAGTCCCCAGCTGCAGCACATCCCACACTAAACTCCTGTCTCCGTGGCGTGCCGCCGGGCCTGTCCTCCCTCTGCTGCTCAGAAGATGGCAGAGTCCCCGTCATCCAGAACAGTGGGCATGCTCAGCTCTCTCCCGCTCTGTGCCGCCCATCAGCAACTCCTGTTCTTGCCCCTCAGAGCATTTCCAGAGCCGGCCGCTTCACTGCACTGCCGCCACGCACAGTTACTGTGCTAACCGCCTGCCCCTCTGTCCTTGCCTCAGAAGCCCTTCCTCAGCAGTGTTGCCATAGTGATCATGTTAAAAACGGAAGTCCCCATTTCAGAATAACAGCAAGGGTCCCACAGTGGCCCACGTGGCCCTCTGTCGTCTGGCTTTCTTTATGATGATAGTGTAAGTTTACAGTACGTAAGTGCATTCATCTGGGGCAGTGGTGCAGATACACATCGCACCTTGCTTGTTTTCTCTCCCCCACCTCCCTTTCAGTCTGGCTTCCTGCTACCTGTGTGACTTCATTTTGCCCCTCTCTGACTTAGATGCAGCCACAGCAGCCTCCCTCTGGCACTAGAATTTTTCTCTGCTTTTCTTCTTGTTTTCCTCCATCAGACCCATCAGGACCCAGTACCAGCAGACTTTGTTCGTTGCTTGTTTTTTGATGCTGAGGATCCAGTTCAAGGTCTCTCACATTAGACAAGCATTCTGCCACTAAGCCCCTAGCCAGCATCAGACACATTCTTGATAGAACGGAAGCTCCATGAGAAAAAGAACTTTTGAGTGTCTTATGAGTGCTGTATCCCCATTCTCTACAGAAATGCCTCAGTGAATGACACAGAGCGTTGTAATGGATGGGTGATAAAAACAGGTGGAAGTAGTCATGTTACCTAACTTCTAAGTTCCCTTCCCTCGGGAAGATCCTGTGATTCCATATTACTGTGGTCAAGTCCAAGGGCTCGCTAGTTCCTTCTGTGAAGTGGGGAGATCGCTCCTTCACAGCAAGGGGCATTATGAGAAGTAATAAAGTCATTCTCACTCTAATTTCTTTGCCCCAGCACTGGGGATTGAACCCAGGAGGCGCTGAGCCACATCTCTGGTCTCCCTCCTTTATTTATGTATTTATTACTTCGAGACAGGTTCTCACCAAGCCGTACAGGCTGTCCTTGGACTTGTGACCCCGAGGTAGGTGCCCGGGAGCTGGGAGTACAGTTTGCGCACTGTGCCTGCTCACTTGTGCGCGTACACGGAGAATAACCCCGAACGTGAAGCGCCGCTTGCGGCTCTGCGGTGGGCTTCGCACAGCCTCCCCACCCTCCTGGCCTTCCAGCCCTGATACCGCCCGGTCGCGGGGACGAAAACATGCACCCACCCCAGCTCATCCTGCCAGCGACCAGCTCCTCAAGAATGCACTGGGCCCCTCCACGGAGAGGGAGGCTGCCCTTCCCTTTAGCACGGTAACCTCTTCCCTAATCCCAAGTAATGTGTCCGTCTTTTTTTCTTTTCTTTTCTTTTTTTTGCTTTTTTGAGACAGGGTCTTGCTATACAGTTCAGGCTGGCCTCGAGCTCATTTTGTAGCCCAGGCTGGTCTCAAACTCGCAACAATCCTCCTGCCTCAGCCTCCCCCGTGCAATGTGTCCTTTCTTGATATTTAAATTCGTCAGCTTTTTTTTTCCTGGCTTTTTGAGATGGTCTCACTAAGTATCCCAAACGGTCCTCAAACTTCCTTTGAGCCCGGGCTGGCCTTGGAACTCATCGTCCCCCTTCCCTGGCCTCCCACGTGCTGGGGTTATTACAGGCATATGCCACCATGCTGCCCTTATTAATTTTTTAATATTAGAAAAATTTAGCCAGGCGTGGAGGTCACGCCCATGAAGCAGCACTCGGGAGGCTGAGGTAAGAGGGTAACCGTGAGCTGGAGGCCAGATGGGACACATGGGGGCTCCAGGACAACCCACCTGCACAGCAAGACCCTGTCTCAAAAAGAATAAAAGAAAAATTTCAAATTTACCTGAACATTAAAAAAAAGAATGCAATCCCAAACACCGGCCCATCGCCCAGTTTCATTACTTTCAATTCTGGGTTGTTTTTCCCTCCCACGGTACTGTGGATTGAGTCCAGAGGCCTTCACACTGAGCCACGTGCCCAGTCCTTTTTTTCTTCTGTTTTGAGACAGGGTCTCATTAAGCTTCTGAGGCTGGCCTTGAACTTGAAATCCTCCTTCCTCGGCCAGAGAGGATTACAGACTTGTGCCACCACACCTGGCTTTTTTAAAGTATGTTCAGGCAAATCCCAGTCATTATATATTTTTCCTTCACAAATACTTCAGGTGTAAATTTGAAAGGTCATTCCCTAAACTGTTAGAGGAACCTACATGTTAGAAAACTTGGGTCCAGGGGTATAGCTCAGTGGAACAACACCTGCCTGGCAAGCGCAGGGTGGTAAGTTCAATTCATGGTACAAAAAACGGAAGGGAGGGAGGGAGGGAGGAAGGAAAATTTGACTTACGGGGAAACTTCTGGAGCTAGTAAGTGACTATAGCAGGGTTATAGGGTAGAAGATTCATAAACAAGAGTCATCTGCTGCCCTTTAAACCAGCAATGAACAAGTAGAATTTGAAAGCAAAGTGCTACTTAGCACCAGCCCCCAAAAAGCAATATTTAGGCATAAATTTAACAAAACTTATGTAGGATCAATATGAGAAAAATTACAAAACTGATAAAAGAAAATTCTTGTCTAGCATACGTGAGGCTTTGAATTCAGTCTCTAGCAGTACACACACACACACACACACACACACACACACACACACACGCAGACATGCTCATAGTAAGGAGACTCAAGACTCAATGCTGCTCGTCAGTTACACCCAACTAAATCTACCCATTCAGTGCAACCCCAATCAAAATCCCAGTGAGGTACTTTGGGGATGTGGACAAGCTGATTCTAAAGTTTATGTGAAAAGACAAAAGATCCAGGTA